CCCATGCCTGAGAGCTCGACAGGTGTGCTTCCCTGGAGTATTATAACTACACCTTTGTCTGTCTGTCTACGCTATGGTGTTGTTTTTAACTGACCAATCTCTTCAACTGTCTCGAACACCACTGCTGTGTTATATACCCAGATATAGTGCTTCCTGAGGTGATTAGCGTGAACCCATTTATCAGCAACCTCCGCAAACCTAATGATGTAGCTGTCATGTCGCACCTGCCGCACTACCTCTGCCAGTCCATTTCATTTAAGCTGCATCTTCCCTACGTGTCATGTCTCAAGGACGAGTACTTGCTCCCCCACGTCAAACTCTTAATGCCTGGCCCGAAGGTTGTAGTTGTGAGTATACATCTGCTGTATTCGTTCTGCGCAGCCGTCAACTGCGCGAGCTGCTTCTGCCATTCGAGGACGTAGCTCCATCAAGTAAGCAGTCGCAGATTTATTTAGACCTATTGGACGTTGCCAATCTCCCGTCACGCTTTTTTGTAGTATGTTTAACGGGTCTTGGGCCATGTGACTGTACATTAGCTGAAATGCTGACACCCCTGTTATTTCATGGAGGTCTTACGATACGCCCACAGAACACATGGTATGTAACGGTCCCTATCTCACGCATTATCGTGTATGACATATTTCAGCATCGCTTTCAACGTTCCGTTCCATCTCTCTACTAGGCCGTTACTCTGCGGGTGTTCCGGAATTGAAAAGCGAACCTCCACTCCTAGACTTTTTCTCAGCTCTCGAGTCAACGTGGCTGTAAAGTTAGTTCCCTGGTCACAGCATATGATTTCTGGGATCCCATACCACGAGAGGATATCCAACAACGCCTGACAAGTTGCGCTCGTGGTCGAAGCTCGAAGCGCGATGACCTCAAACCACTTCGTGCATAAGTTAATCATGCACAAAGCGTACCGATGGTCATGCGATGATGCAGCTTCTACAGGACCGACACAGTCAAGGTGCTCTACCCTAATTGGTGTTTGCGGTCGTGTGAGGGGGGTGATTGGCACTAGATTGGCCACCTTTCTACTAGCACATCTCTCGTATGTATTGCAAGACTGACAATGCGTTTTGGTGTCCGACACCATAGTCGGCGAAAATAATGCACTACGAACGCGCTCTTTCATTTTTTTTGCTGAAAACTGTTTGCCTAAAGGAGCATCATAAGAGAGAGCCAGCACTTCTTCAAGGTGTGCTTCAGGTATTACAAGTTACACTGCTTCCCGTTCAAGATTTCCCCGTGGAACAATAGGCCCCCCTCTACGAACATTCTGTGTGTTCCCTCACGCACCTGCTCCCATGGCGAAAGCAATGATCAGTTCTCTCGTTGGTTTTTTACGACCAACGAGAGAACATTACATTTCACATTTTTACATTTCATTATATGCCTCATTAGCCAATACTTGCCCAGCCAAAGAAACTGCTCGTGCTCCCACTGGATCTGGCTGCTTCTCCGGCTTCTCCTTAACACTGGCCTCACCTTCACGATCAATTTCCTCAGCAACGTTCTGCTCTACTCTCACTTTTTGAACCGCCCATTCCTGCGATTCGCTTTGCGTCTCTTTAAGCTTTTCCAGCGTATCCGGTGTAAGTAGCCGCGCACAGTTCCACCAGCTCCAGAGCTGAGCTTCCACCCGGAATATACAGGGCTGATGGGACGTGCATTAGGTCAGCTGCAAGTGCCTGCCCAAATGCACCTCTCAAGCGTATTTGGCCTACTCCCTGAAGTCTCGATGCTTGCGGGACTAACTTTTTGCCTGATCACTGTAATATCCGCCCCTGAATATAAACACGTGTAGAACTTGCGACCCGCACTCCTCAATTCTATCCATATTTTTCTTGATATTCCAGCACCACAGTGCCCAAGCATTAGGCTCTCCTCCACCCGTTCACATTCCGCCCGCGCGGTTTGTCTATCCAAAGACAAACGGTCTTGTCCCTCTTCCGCTGCCGGCTGTGTCAATCGCGAGCGCTGCCACTGATAGCGTCCACTCTCTCCGCAAGCATAGCATCGGAAGCCTGTTCTCTCGTTTCGCTGAGCTAGCCTTTTGGTCGAGCGGTGATTGAACGTATCACCAATCTTCGATCGTCCAGTAGCTGGATTTTGTGGCTTTCTATAACTCGTCTTTTCACAATATTTCTGCGCCAACTTCGCGAGGTCATGAGGTCTCTGCCATTCTGCTGTGTGATGCTGAAGCACGTACGTGCGAATGTGTTCGCGCATCAGCTGCTTGACTCGATCTGAGAGGAGCAACGCCCGCAGTTCCAGAATACTGCCAATTTCTCTACTGCGGAGATAATAATCAAGTGAAATCTCGAGTCTCGTGGTGAACTGTCCTCTTATCTTACCTCCTTTCCGATAGGCGCAAAGGTGGCGTTTGTACTCCTCAGGTGAGAGCTTTAGTTCACGCAGAATCACATCGCGAACCTCCTCGTAGAAAAGTACTAGGTCCTCAGCTCGATTTGCACCAATGTACGGCTAGTTTCGTTCAGAAGCGGCAAGTTGATAGTGTCTTTTACATCATCAAGGATGGCACAGATTCTAGACTTATTTTCAGCACTGCGGAACCACAGAGGCACCAGCTCGACGGAAACCAGCATTGGCGGAAGAACTGCTCGCAACTGACCTGCATACCGTGCCAAACTAGACCTGTCACTCCGCTCCACCTCAACTCCTGTCTGAGAATAAATCTTTAACTTTTGTAGCTCAACTTGGAGCTATTAGACCTTCTATTTCCAGTTCCGTCATTAGAACTTAAACAGCAGTATCCGCACTTTCACTAGCAACCACAATTGCGCCAGTCGTGCCCGCGGATGCTCCATTACGATCTGACTCCTGGTCCTCAGTAGTCCCAACTGCCTTCTAACGTCTCGTCACCCTAGTCGCCATGGTGCTTGTGGAGAAAACGGAACAGGGACCCACCTGTGGTTCACTGTGCGTAGATGCGTCGCCACACCATCTCAGGATAGGAGTTCCAGTCAGCGGGTAGTAGAAATAATTATCCGCTGTAGCTGGATGTACGTGCACACTCCGTTTCTGCCTTGATAAGTGTGCTGGTCACCGGTCCCACGCTGGTTCTGTCCAAACCTCCAGTAGTCACCAGCCACTCTGGGCCAGAAGCCGAAGTCCTAGCGTAAGAAGCCGTCACTCTCAATTCAGGCCCAGCTGGTCATCACGGTCGGCGTTGCGCTGAATTCAGGTTTCTTGACTGCATATCTTCCTCTCTGCTCCGGCATCGCCTGATGATCCTTTTTTTGCCTCCACCTTTGGCTTTTGGGGTGGGTGTGCGAGTCAGGATTGCAGGATCTCTCGTTGTCCTCCAGGACGCCGCCACGAGAGCTTGTCCACTGTGCCAGTTAAGATTGCGATGATGGATGTAATCCTGGTGGTTCCAATGATCACGACGACACGTTGAAGGACTGTACTGCTTGTCTCTTCCTAGCAAACTTCAGTTTATTTACACACTAACAATTATTTACAAAGTCCGGAGGGAGGAATTAAACTGACCACACAGTAATCACTGGGTTGTATTAATATTAACTTCGGCGTTACTTGCCGAGCCCTTCGTACACTCCACACATTGACACCAACTTCTCTATATAGTATCAACTTGGATCAGACTATGTGATGGGCATGGCCTCCGTTACCCTCAACGTAGCATTAATCTTGGCACAGAGTCAGTGCTAGGTACAACCTCTGTCTCCGCTTCCCGATATCGTTCTCGAGCACCAAGCTCCCCTTCTCTTCATTTCTTTTTCTTAAATACCTTCCGTCTCACCTGAGACAGCCTCATGGTACGAACCCCTACTCGACGCTCCACGAATGGAGCAAACAACTGCCCTTTTCTCAGAAATGGTTCTCCGCCTCTGCGTTCCCACACTTTGCTATCCTCCGGGCATCGACTAAGAAGAACTGTTTGTTGCCTGTTTCTTGTCATGTAGCACTGAAAAGCCTGTTTCTTGTCATGTAGCACTGAAAATATTACGGGCTGCAGCCGTTCGGTTCCTGCATGCCAACAACAAGTTTTCTTTTCCCCCACTTTTCTTTCTTCACATTTACATTTTCACTGAAACAACTTCGCCTATACTTTCCTTTGCAGTATTATTTGTTAGATCTCATTAAAGTTGTGTCTCACACGGAAAAGCAAGCCCTTCAGTATACACTTCTTTTCATATATATATATATATATATATATATATATATATATATATATATATATATATATATTACAATGCCGTTCCAGAAGACAGGTCTTGATGACTACACTATATGCATTCTTTCTGTCCAGAGAAGCAAAAAGATTAATATGTTGAATGTAAATCATGTGTTGCTTGTTTGCTACCATTATCATGTGTGTGGGGTGGTGGTTTGGGGGTTATATAGGACAAATCAGGCGGTGCGTTGATGTTAGACTAAGGGAACACTTTACCTCACTGACGGCATCTGGTGGTTTGCACTTGCCAGCTCCTTTCAGGTAATGTGGCTGCTAGTCGAAGGCGAATGAAAGCACTTGTTTGTTAAGCCATCGAGACACATTGAATGTAGCAGTGATAGAGGTTTCTATATTTAAAGGGAGGGGGAAAGTTGCGCGAGTGAAGCGCCTGCGGGCCTTTTTGCAAAAGAGGTTACATTCTTGCGTTCAGCGGTGCCAGGTTAGAAAAATTATTGGTTATGAATGGGCTGTTACACTGTTGTTGCTAGTGGGTTTGTTATTTTTTCTTGTTTTTCTCGAATGTATAGCCATGTGTAGCTTTTCGCCATGGTTAGAAATTTGTTATACCCTGTTTTCTTTGCGGTGTAGACACTATGATGAGCCACGTGTCTGAGTCCTGTTCCTGATACGTGTATGTTCCTTCGAATAAATTATAGCTGTTAGGTCAGACACGTGTCGTCTATTTTTCGATTATGGTCTTTATCTTTGTGCTGTCTTTGCATCCAAGCATTGATGACTGCGCATTTTGAAGTTGACACCGATGTATCAGGATACTCACTTCTACTCCGTTGTGGGAACGTAAGGATACCACACTTCGCACTGTCGTTCCAAAATTGTAACGTGTATTGTGTCCCATTTTGTCCTGCAAGAGATTACGTTTGTTGTAACCTTAAATTTCAGCAGTATAGTACGTAGAGTACAGAAGAACTTAATCAACTACAGAGGCATATTTAATATGCTTCATCTACTCAACTACATTTCTCTTACTATCAGATAACATGCTTGACGCTATTCAGAACAAAGGCAGCCATGACATGAAAAAAAACTGCAATGATTGTAGTGTCTGAGTTTCAACACAATCATTCCCTTCCACAATTATATCTTCGAAGAGCAGCCAACAAGAATGGACGTTCAAAATGTGGTTGTAAAATCTCTCGAGCAACTTCTAGAAATATAGTTGCAAGGCACCCAGTGCACCATAAATGTGCATAAATTTGTGAAGTGTGGAAGCACCCGCTGTAAGATGAGTCATTTTGTGGAGAAGCGAGGCATCCACTAAGAGAAGAAGAAGGTGCTTAATGAGAAGAAGGAGGAGAGGTCGGCCTTGAAAGTGGATTTCTGGCCTGCTAGTCCTCACGGGTTAAGGGGAAAAGGGAAAGAGAGGGGTATGATCAGGGGTGATTGTGGTATAGCACAATGCGTCACTGCACAGAATGTCCCGTTCGGTGTAGTACACGCACAGAAGTCTCTACATTAGTAGATTCTCTAAAGGCGGGAATCAAAATCTGTCTTGCTCAAAAATGCGAGCAGGCCCTTTCAACAGCGTTGGGCGTGATCCACACGTTCCTAAGCACCCAAAAGTTTTTTTTCTGGACAGGGTCGGCAGTCTAGGTCATCTCTGATGCACTTAAGAGATTGTCTTTCAGCTGCGTATAAAGGGAACACACACAGAATGTGATTATTAGTTTCTGGCACGTTGCACAAGTTGCAGTTAGGCTTTAGCTCTTGTCTATGTCTATGTAGTAGCGTTTCTTAGTCTTTCCTTAGTCGGAACGGAAGACGAAAAACACGACAAGAGTCAAGCCTGTAAGTACGCTTGTGGCGATAATCCAGTTCATTCCATAGTATTTGCATAGATGTCTTCATATTTTTAGACAGCAAGGCGTTGATGTAATATCGAAAAATGTGAGTTGATATCACTTCGCCACTAGTGTGTGCCATTTTCGCTTCTGCATCAGCTCGTTCATTCTCAGCTGTGCCACAACGACTGGGCATCCATTGCAACGTGACGGTATTTTCTGTTTCAAGTGCCTCATTCACCATATTCATTATGTCACACACAAGAGGACTGTATTCAGTGTCTTCTTTCATGTAGTTTCTAATTAGCTGAAGTGCTGGCTTGGAGTCGCGAAATAACGTCCGTTTTACTAGACCCTGCTGTAAATTTTAGCACGCAGCTTGTTGGATACCGGTCAGCTCGGTGGCAGTAGATGATGTCAGGTGTGCTATTTTGAAGCGTTGAGTTATTCCCATTTGACACACGGTGAAAGCTTCTTCTCACTTACATACTTTCATGCAAAGCTAATGTATGGTTTGTTGATGTTCTGGCAGAAGACAATGAAGAACTATGAGTGATCATTTTATTTGGATTCAACGCTTTAAGCCACTAACGCGTTGTGCAATAGACAATATGCGATGGCTGGGTGTTATAATACTCTTCTACTGCACACTATTACACATGTTAGAGAGATTCCTTGTCAGATATGACGCCTGTATAGGGTCATTTAGCGAACGAGTCAGAAAAAAAACAGTCTGGGTCTTCGTTAAAATACTCGCCAGCTTTCAAATGAAAAAGTTCGCACCTTTTCTAGCCCAACGCCAACCACAACGCAGTTAGTGAAGTGGAAATGTTCAAATATCATTTGAAATACTTCGGCACCAATATTTCAACCCTCGAGCCTAGTTGTACTGCAGGTAAAACCACTTAGCATAATGTCATAGCACCTATTGTTTGGAGTAGACAGTAAAAACAGAAGTCTCCTGTTCAGACAGGATTTCGCCTATCCTAGGCAATACTATCACAACTTTCTTCAGCTTAAATAACTTTCGATAGGTACACTTTCAATCAGCTGCCAGATAACGAATGGCGTATAGGCGGCGCGCTCCCGCATACTGACCAAAATCCTGTCTAAGGGGAGCCCAGCAATAAAAAATGCCCGTGATAGCCGTGCGGTGTGGAAATAAAGCCTCTAGTCTGTAAGGGCGCGTCACACTTGGCCTCGAAGAAAGCGAAACCGCCAAAATTCTCCGCAAACTGGCTCATTTCGCCACCCAAAAAGCCGGGAAACCATGCCGTGCGGGTGGCGCGCAAGAATCGCTCCGAGACCGATTTTCCCGCCACGCGAAACCGGATCCGATTTCCGCTTCACAGCCTTGGCTGCACTAGATGAAACCACGTTACCTAACCAGCCAGCCGCAACTTCAACATAGTGTCACAGGCGGCAGCGGTGGTTCACATCAGCTGAAAACACAAACTACCCGTGCAGCACGACGAAGCTTGATGGCCTCAACAAGGATGCGCTCATCGATAGCCTGACTTGAATTACGATCACCGAGAACTCGGGAAGTAGACGCTGCAGCGGCAGCGAGTCGGCATGCCCGAACAAGTCTCGCTTTTGTGTACAGCCGGTTGAAATCACGCCGCCGCTGCCGGTGCGTTGGCTCGCGTTGTTTCTGCTGGCGTGTCTCCCGAAACAACGTTGAAAAAGGGTCGAGCTGTTTCTTTTTACTACCTAGTGGCAATAACTTGAGTACAAACTTTATTTCTCAGAAAGCAAGCAAAATCGAAATAATTGTGAAGGAAGTCACGGCAGCGGTGGCGGGATGGGGCAGAACGTATGCGAACAACTTTGGCGAGCGCGGTTGTGGTTTTCCGGTCGCTCTGGCGTTTTAAATGCGAAGCATTTCTTAGCGAACATCGAGTACTTTGAGCGTATCTATCTATCTATCTATCTATCTATCTATCTATCTATCTATCTATCTATCTATCTATCTATCTATCTATCTATCTATCTATCTATCTATCTATCTATCTATCTATCTATTCAACCGCCTACGACTTTTAGCTCTCCTGGCCGTTTCGATAATGGTATTGATATCAAACTTTGTATGACATAACAAAACTGTATGAGGACAATATATGACTAGTCATAACCTGAAAATTATGGCATGTATGTTATGAATGTCATAGTTTACATTTCATGGTCCTGCACCTCTCGCGGTGGTTTTGCTCACATGGCCTGTTGCACAACTGGTATGGTATGACACGTTCGCGTGGCGAACTCAAGCGACAGACCCTAACAAGAAAATGATGAGAGGCATGTCAAGTAACATGACTACATGCCACGCTCATGATGCACTCGCGGCCGTTTCGCTAGCGTCACATATACGAAATTTGGTATTGCAGCACGTGAATGGATGACGAAGGTATGTGACTGGTGCAAACATGATAAGCATGAGATGCGTGTCATGTAACAACATGACTACATGCCATGCTCATGATCCATTGGCGGCCGTTTCGCTGGCTTCATTTATACCAAATTTGGTATTACAGCACGTGAATGGATGACGAAGATATGATACTTGTGCAAACAAGATAATCATGAGATGCATGTCATGTATCAACATGACTACAAGGCACGTTCATGATGCGCTGGCGGCCGTTTTACTAGCTTCACTTGTACCTAATTCGATATTACGGGACGTGAATGGATGGCGTAGGTATGAGATTGGTGCAAACGTGATAAACATGAGATGCGTCTCATGTAACAACATGACTACATGCCACGCTCATGATGCGCTCGTGGCTGTTTCGCCAGCTTCCCATGTACGAAACTCGGTATTACGTGACGCCAATGGATGACGAATGTATGTGACTAGTGCAAACACGGAAATCATGAGAAGCGTGTCATCTGACAACATGACTACATGTCACAGTCAAAGCGTCAATACACTTCGACGCGACGCGGTACGCGTGCTCGCCGGGGTTCATTTCGTCGCATCACGCCGGTGTTGCCATGCCAGGCGCCGGTCCTGCCATATGCTCGCAAGCGCGCGCCGCGCTGCGTTGCGTTGACGCATTCGCGTTTCAGTGCGACTGCGTTCCTTTGTCACGAAAAAAGCGAGACGCATTGTTGTCTGGGTAACGCATCGGCGCAAAATGCAGCATGTCGCAATATGCGCGGTTGCTGTCGGATCGAGCCGACGAACGTTCGTCCCGCCAGGCGTGAGACTATAGAGTGCTTGCGTTTTGCTAACAGTGCCTAGCGTGTGCGCGCGTCAACACTACATTGAAGTAAATTAGGCCCTTCATGATGCGCTTGCGGATGTTTTGCTAGCTCCACATACACCAATTTTGTGGTACGTGACGTGGCTGGATGACGAAATATATGATTGGTGCAAACATGACAATTCCGACATGCATGTCATGTAAGAACAAGACAACATACCACGCTCATAGCGTGCTCGCGGCCGTTTCACTAACTCCACATATAGTAAATTTAGTATCACTCTACTTGAATAGATGACGAAGAAAAAGGACACATACAATCATGATATTCATCACGCGGAAGTCGTGTATGGCACCATTTACCTCCACCTAGTAACGTTGTGCTGATTTTAAAGTGACATTTTAACATTTTTCATTCATGCTTCGCATATCATCGATTCTCACTGTACGTGGGATATGGCAATTTTTTGTTTTCTCCTCACACCAAAAGTGTGAACGCCGCCTAAGAGCGGGCGCAAGAAGGAAAAAGAAACAAAAAAAGAGAAGAGCCGCCGTCTCTGTCGTGCCAGCCTGGCGCCAGGAGGCGGCATCAACTTACGCAGAACCGTTCAACGACAAGCACGAGCACAAAAAAAAATTAACAGAAAAAAAAAATTGCCCGCAGCTTCCCTCGAAGGAACACTGAGGAGGATGCGGACCATATAATTGGTTAACGGGGTGTTAAAGTGCGACTTACTTGGGTCGATGGCTAAATTGGTTAACGTGGTTGTGAAATGGGGTGTTAAATTGCGACTTACTTGGGTCGATGGCTGAATTGGTTAACGTGGTTGTAGGAGGGGGTGTTAAATGAGTGA